GGTATTGGAAGGGGAGGAATGAGGGTGGAATTGGTCAAAATGCATAACATTCATGTCTGAAATTCCCAAACAACTAAAATGTACCAAGAGATCTCAGTTAACATGTAAACCTATTCCACACAGCTGCATTGGCCATCACATTAATAAACCCAGGTGAGTGAATAAGAACATAAAGGAAAGACATATAAAGAATAGGGGAAGATCAGCTGTTTGAAACATTGCAGCATGAAGGCAAAAACCAAGAAAAGCCAGGGTGTGTTGAAGATAAAACATCACCAAGTCAAAGAAAGACACTTGATGCTGTGCCTAACCCTGAGCTTTGGCCACAATCTCCCTCTCCCTGACCTTTGCCTTCTGTTTCTAATGTTTGATGGTTTGGGGGATGGGGAACCGAAGCTGATTTTTCTTTATTTAACTGACAATAGTAGTAGCAAGGTATTACAAAGTACCCCTTTCCACCCAGCATCTGGCTCCTGAACTTTTATTGGTAAAAATAAAAGGATAGAAAACAATATTTGTCTCCTTATGTTGAGGTGGCTGAGGCAGTAGTGTTGGTAGGACTCCTGGCTGCCCAGCCACCTCTAGCTAGTTCAGAAAGGCAGAGAAAGCAGCCAGCTGACCTTCCTCCTTTGCCAACAAAGCTCTCTTCCACCGTCCCAAATCAAAAAGGACCTCCAAACTCAAAGTCCCTCCCTACTACTTCCTGGGCATCTCTCTATCCATCTTGACTCCCTCTTACTCTCTATGGTTACTAGTTGTTTGTTCCACCTCTTGGGCTATGGTTGATTTTATTTAACCCTGTTTACAATAAACAGAAAACTCTTGAATTAACGGTGTGTGTGAGGGTTGGGCAATACCACAGCTAGAGGCAGGTTTGCCCAATAAACAATGCAATCTTGGTTTTTACAGTGTGATCAAATATCCTGCAAAATCCCCCCATTTTGTCTAAATGAAAAGGAAAAGTTTTAACTCTAATGCATCAAAACTATACATAATAAGAACAATTATCAGGTAAGAATTACATTCACAATGTCCAGTCCATTTGTACTTGGAAAATTTGGAGAAAGTACTCTATTATCAATCCTATCTTGGTAAGTCCAAAGTTTTGTACCTAAATCACTTTTTTGTAACCAACCTAGTTGTGGTTGAGGGAGAGGACTGGCCACCAATTCTCCCTTCCCTAGGTACACGGGAAAATGGAATGGAGGTCTCAGTTTACCAGCAGAAGGGTAACTGAGCTCTTCATCCCCTCCCCAGTAGTGTGTCCTGCATGTGCCTCTCCCTCTATACAGTGAGCAAGAGAGCCTGGGGCTGTTAGCCTGAGGCAGGTCAGACCCCTGCACTACCCCTGTAAAGCCCCAGAAAGGAGCTAAGTCATTAAGACTGAGACAAAATAAGAAATCCTTAGGGGATGAAGCCACTGAGAAAACTATTTAATGATGCAGTGTGGTCTAGCTACTCTGTCACACTGGAGACACTTTTCCAAGTGAGACTTACAAATAGCCTTTGATCGGAATTCAGCTATTTCAAATTCAGGTTCAGATTCAGCTATTCCAAATCTCACACTGTAAGAGGAGCTGGCCGCAGCAGAAGTGGATGACGCAGCAGAGATCTGAGGTTTTATGTTTTCTATCTACAAGTACCTTCCACACACTACTCCAGTCACCCGAAGGTTTGACAAAAATTACTGACTTCAAGAAACACTGAAAACGTATTCCTAAGAAATACTCTGAAACGTACTGTTAGTCTAATCACATAAAAGTAATGCTAGTCCAGGTGTCATTTGAGCCTCAGCTCTAAAATCTTGAGTGGGGTTTGCAGGTGGACTGAATTTGGCAGCATAGCATCAGCATCAGCAAGACCCTGGGTTCGTAGGAAAAAAGAAAAAAAACTTTTAAAAAGAAATTTCCAAAGAAGTATCTGTGGTGTCAGGTGGTGTCATCTTGTCCAAGATCATCATAATGGCTGTCAGAAGTTTCTTTTCAAGCTTGACATAGACTTGGCATTCCATCTAGCTGGTGAGTTAGAAAAGAAAGTACAATTCCCCCCAAGCCAAGAAAGTTTAATCTGCCGTATGTAGATAAATCTCAGTAAGCACTCAGGCAAAGTTGGATTTAGTGAAAGGTTCGTGTGTGGCATATTATGTCTGTCAAATGGAAGATGCTAGTTGCCAGGGTGGTCATAAAAGCAGCTGCCTGACCAAGATTTGTGCTGCTCTCTCTGTTCACGGTCCCCATGAGTCTCGGTTTCCAAGGCACCGTTTTTTTCACGTACACTCAGACACTTCTTCCATAAGCGTGAGAAAATGTTTGTCATCAGCATTCGTTTTGTTAGCTCTCCAGTCATCTTTCCCAAATATATCAGACAAACCTGTGAATTCTGAAGGCTTTCATGACCGTCATTAAAACTAGGACTGGGAAGATGGCTCGGTCAGCAAAGGACTTAAAGTGCAGAGCTCGGGGATCTGAATCAGATCTCTGAGGAGTGCTGCTTGCTGACATGGTCACAACCCCAGGCTTACCCAGATTCCTCATACAGCCCAGGGAATGGTGCCTCCCATGGTTGGCTGTGCCCTCCTATACCAACTACCAGTCTCCCCAGACATACCTAGTGTTAGACCCCCGAAAACTCAAGTATTGGGGGTCCCAGGCCACATTCGCGGTCACCCCAATCACCAGGCGGATTCGAGAGCTTGCTGCAAGCTGCACGAGGCTTTATTGTAATTTAACGAGCTAACCCCATGTTAGCTCGGGTCTTTCACCCACCCGCCATGGCGGACGGCTAGAAAAGACGGTTTGAAGCTGCTGCGTACAGATCTTTATAGGGCAGCATAAGGGGAGTGTCTAGGGGTACGCACAGGCTCACGATTGGTGTGCCTCCAGGCTTGCCCTGTGTTGATTGGTCAACTGGTTGTTATGGCCCATAGGCCCTCCCAGGGTGGTTGCTATGCTTTGTGTGTCATTGCTGTGCGCTTGTCCATAAAGCACACCCAGGGTCGTAAAGCATAGCGCCACCAGCTGACTTCTGATTGGCTCCTTGTCACGAGACAGGCATCTGACTTTCTAGTGACTAGGTCAAGGTCATAGAAGCACATGTTCGGCTGTTATGGCTGCCAAAAGGGAAGCCGGTTCCTTCACTAGGAGCCAATTTATGGGCAGTTCTCAATAGAGATTCCTTTCTCAGGTGACTCTAGAATGGGTAAAGTTGAAGTTAAAGCTAGTTAGAACAGCGACTTATCGCCTTGGGATCATCCTCAGGTACAAACAACAAACTTGCTGTCACCTCAGATGCTCCTTTCAGGCCTTTTCCTAGCACTGCCTTCCAAAGATAACCACTGTCCTGGCTTAAATCTTAACAACAACCTAACGTAGTCATGTCTTGTTTCTTCTAGTGTAGGAACCTAAATAAACAGGTCTTCAGCAAACTTACTCTACTATGCCGGTTTCTTCATTCAACCTTGTGACTGTGAGGTTCGTTCAGGTTGCTGTATGCACACTGTCTGTCATTGTCATAGCAGTGGAGTTTTTGTGATAAGAATACATAGTTTTTCCATTCTAATATCCACAGGCAATGAATTTTTCAATAATAGTGTCTAAGTCTGTGGGTGTTATACATGATGCAAATAGCTTCCCTCTCAGTGGCTTGCCCTGACAGTAAATAAATCTAACATGCTTCTTAACAAATAGCAAGACAGTGTATGTAAGTCCATGAGGGAGAGCATAGGGGAGGTGACTATGGAGGTCCTAGTGAGGTATTTTGTCAGATCCTGGAACAATAGTTATACACAGAGATGCAGCTGATGAGCCAGTCAGACAGACAGACAGACAGACAGACAAGAACATGGAGCAGGAAGAATGTGGAAACATGAACAACCACCATGTTTCCAAAATTCAGACAGCATTTCAGATGACCATTGAACAAATTACAACTGGTGCTATATTATATAAGCCCCGAGCTAGCTGCCTGTGACTAGGTCAGAAGTGTCTTCTATTATAAAATGAGAATTGTTTCCTAACCTTATGTCCTCTGGTGACTTACAAGTGCCTGACACTGTCAGGGACACTGAACGTACAAGTATGAATGTGCCAGCCCAGACCTGGGAGCATGGGTCTAATTCAATGATCAATAAAGATGAACCCAAGTGAAAGAAGCCAGTGGCAGGGCAACAAATACCACTTGCACGATGTATCTACAAACAGATTCACAGAACCAAGAAGCAAAATGGTGGCTGGTAAAAATCTGGGTGGGAAGAGCAATGGAGAATTTCTATGAAAGAGTCAGAAGTTTGGGTTAAACAGATGAATAAAGTCTAAGGAGCAGCCAAACAACATCCGCCTAAAGTCAACAGTACACTGTGCCTCGGAATCCATGGTTCAAGGTCATCCTCCACTTCACAGTGAGTTCTAGGTCAGCTTGGACTACATAAGACCCTGTTGTTTTGTTAAATGTTTTGGGTTTTGTTTATTTCGTTTTTTGGGGGTTTTGTTTTGTTTTGGTTTGTTTTTGTTTTTGTTTTTTGTTTTTTCAAGACAGGGTTTCTCTGTGGCTTTGGAGGTTGTCTCCTGGAACTCGATCTATAGACCAGGCTGGTCTCAAATTCACAGAGATCCGCCTGCCTCTGCCTCCCAAGTGCTGGAATTAAAGGTGTGAGCCACCAATGCCTGGCTTGTTAGATGTTTTTAAGTTCTCTTGCCACAGTCAAAGTTTTGAAAAGGAGACGCCATTTACTGCATGATTGAAATTAATTTATTGAAACATGAAAGTTTGTATTATATTGTTATAATAAAAGGAAAAAGATTAGTAACTTGAAAAGGAAGATTCCAGGTTATTGTATGGGAAGGGTTCTCTTTGCTGTTGTCTCTTGATTCTGGAGTTTCTTTTCATAGCTATCTTGATCTTCAAGACAATTCATCAGGCAGCCCCTGCTGCTGTAAATGGCTCATTGAGAATTCAGCAGAGTCGTGAACACTAGAGGAATCCAGTGGTCCAAGGAATAATCTTTAGTAGAAGCTGGAGAAGCCATAGCCTCCAAAAGATGAGGGATGGTAGCAACCATATCTGTGGTTTCCATAGTTAGAACCATATCCATAGCCTCCAAAGCCATGATTGCCCAGTCTGTGGAAGCTGCCACCTCCACAGCCAAAGCCATAGCCCAGACCATTAAAGCCTCTGTGGTTGTAGCCATAGCCACTGACAACTCCATGGCCATAGCCCAGTCCATGGAAACCTCTGTGGCCATAGCCAAGGCCTCCATAGTAGCTGCTGTAGTGGCTCATGGTGTCGGGAATTGTAGATTGGTTTAGATGTTGAGGATAAGTGTCTTGCCTGTGACCATCGCCAACCTCTCCCAGGTTTTATACCCTCACTGGTGGGTGGGGCAAGCCACGCAGGATCACCCCATTTGTGGAGATGGAATTGCATAAGAAAAATCTCATCTACCGAATTGGGTAAAACTTTAGGGCAATTTCTTTCACTAATTAAAGATATTTTCGTTTGGTTTCTGTGAAGTTTGGATTCCAGTGGTAACGATGCTGCCTGCCTTCAAAGACCTCTTCTTTGGTCCTCCTGTTTAAAGCTCTATAATCAGACATGAAAGCGTCAGTCACCTCCAATTTCATCACTTGGAATAGTTTGTTCATTACAGCCCTTTCCCAGAACCTCTGATATGGCTTCTGCCTAATTTATTCATTGCATAGGTATTTAATGATAACCTAGTGCAGCTCGTCCGACATGCTGGAGGTGGGGAGCTCATTGTAAATAGGAACTTCTCATCCCTACACATGGCCGATCCATTATCTCTTCTCATTACAATTATGAAAACATCTCAGCTCACTAGGGACTCACTAGGGTACTTTTATTCATTTACACATTACGTGTCCCTCATGTCCATTCACCCACCTACCCTCTCTGCCTTTTCCTTTTTATCCCACATTTGTTTGCTTTCTATTGCCGTGATAAAGCACCATGACCAAAAACAACTTGGGAAGAAAAGGGTCTATTTCAGCTTGCACTCCAGGTAACATGCCGTCACTGTAGGAAGCCAGGGAAAGAATCTAGACACAGGAACTCAGTCAGAAGCCAGGAGGAGTGCTGCAGATTAGCGTCGTACCCCACATGGCTTTCACAGCCTGCTTCCTTATACGGCTTAGACCACTGTGCAGAGACGACAGCACCCTGAGGGCCGGACCTGTGCACATGAGCGGTTAGTCAAGAAAATGCCTCACAAACTTGCCTAGAGGTTAATCTGGTGAGGGCATCCTCTCAATTGAGTTTCCCTCATCTCCAAAATCTCTAGCTTGTACCAAGTAGGCAATGAAATAAAACACCAGGACAAACACTTCTCTCCCAGTTCCTAATAATGCATCTTCTACTTTCAAGTCATCATTTATTTTCGAAGAGAAAAGACGTGACCCTTGCCCTACTGGGTCTGGCTTATTTCATTTAACAGGATGCCCTATATAGTTCCATCCATTTTTCTACATGACAGGATTTCATTCTTCTTTATGAACAATAACCCACAATACAAGAGGCCAGGGAAATACTTCAAACACACACACACACATACACACACACACACACACACACACACACACACACACACGGATCTGCATTCACACACACATGTATCTGCATTCACACACACACACACACACACACACACACACACACACGTCTCTGCATTCACACACACACACGTCTCTGCATTCACACACACACACGTCTCTGCATTCACACACACACACGTCTCTGCATTCACACACACACACGTCTCTGCATTCACACACACACACGGTATCTGCATTCACACACATACACACACACATGTATCTGCATTCACACACACACACACACACACACACACACACACGTCTCTGCATTCACACACACACACACGTATCTGCATTCACACACATACACACACATGCACATAAAAAGCAATAATGCACTGTGTACATACATCACATTTCTTCGTCATCTGTTGATGGGCACCATCATATCTGAGCTCTTTGGATAGAACCACAACATACATGTGTATACACATTTCTCTATCATATTCAGACTTCATTTCCTTCAGGTATATGCCCAGATATCACACAGAAAGTCTTATTTTCAGTGTGTGTGTGTGACTGTGTGTGTGACTGTGTGTGACTGTATTGTGTGACTGTGTGTGTGGCTGTGTGTGTGTGTGTGACTGTGTATGTGTGTGTGTGACTGTATTGTGTGACTGTGTGTGTATGTATGTGTGTGTGACTGTGTGTGTGACTGACTCTGTGTGTGTGTGATTGTGTGTGTATGTATGTGTGTGTGACTGAGAGTGTGTGTGTGTGTGTGACTGTGACTCTATGTGTGTGTGTGTGACTGTGACTGTGTATGTGTGTGTGTGTGTATGGCTATGTGTGTGTGTGTGTGTGACTGTGTATGTGTGTGACTGTGTGTGTATGTATGTGTGTGTGACTGTATGTGTGTGACTGTGTGTATGTGACTGTGTGTGTGACTGAGACTGTGTGTGTATGTGTGTGACTGTGACTCTGTGTGGCTGTGTGTGTGTGTGTGTGTGTGTGTGTGTGTGTGTGTGTACTCCACATGATTTTCCACTCCATAACAGCCATGTAGTATTTAAGTGTTCTTGTCTTAGATTTTCTTTTTCTTTATGTGTACGCATGTTTTGCATGCATATAATTACACACAGTGCCCATGGTGGGTGGATGCTAGAAGAGGGCTTCAGATCCTCCTGGGGCTGGAGTCACAGACAGTTGTTAAGATGTCATGTGGCCCTCTGGAAGAGCAACCATTGCTCTCAACTGCTGAGCCATCTTGCCAGCCTTAAGTATTCTTTTATGTCTCCATCCCTAACAGATTTTTTATTTTGTTATTACTGTTGCTGTTTGATAATAGTCTTTTAAAGAGTAGTAAGATTGAGTCCTATAGCTTTGATTTTCATTTCCCTGAAAACTAATGATTTTTATTGGACATTAGTATTTCTTTGTCAACTTTTTGGGAGAAGTTTTCTATTCAGATCATCTATTTTTAGTTGAATTACTTGAGTTTTTAGAAAGTTCAATTCTTTGTGTATTCTGGCTATTAACCTCTTGTCAAATGATTAGATGGAAGATACTTCTGTAAAAAATCTAACATATTTGACAGTACAGTAGGACCATTTTTAACATTCTGGCAGAATCCTGATGCACTTTTATATTGTTTATGAAATGTTTGATAGGCCTTACGTCTTATGGCAGATTTTCCGTGTACGGATAAGGAAGAGATGGGGAGACGAGAGTAACAGTAATGTGGAAACCTACTGTCTTACAGCCCAATTGAAAAACAAAACACAGTTTGGAGGCAGATAACCTATGTGAATAGATAATAGAGAAAAAAAAAACAAGGAAGAAAAACTACTGGGGAGTTTTAAGAAACAAAAATGAATATATAATTTTCTTTTTGAAAAATGAAGCTGCCTCAGTCTGTTTTCTATTTCAAAAACAAGACACTGGCCAGACAGTAGTGGCCCGTGGTGCACGCCTTTAATCCCAGCACTCAGGAGGCAGAGGTAGGAGGATCTCTATGAGTTCGAGACCAGCCTGGTCTACAAGACACTGGAGATTTGATGATGTACAGAGAGCGGAAGGTTTACTTTGACTCCTGGTTCTAAGGTCTGGGAAGTCCAAGAGTGTGATGCAACACCTCAGCTTCTGGCAAGAGCCTCCTCCTGTGGTAGAAGTCAGAAGGACAAACAGGTGGAAGAGAGAGCAGGCGTTATATTTGCTTTGTAACAGCCTACTCTTGCCAGGCAAACCCTCTAAACAACCTGCTCAATTCTTAAAGGCACCACTCCAACTCTGTCACACAGACAGCCAAATTTCAGCCTGAGTTAGGTAGGAGGGCTACAACATAGTCTAACCATAGCAGGAGCTCCATAAAATATCCCAAATAGGAACTGGAATCCCTACTAGCTAACCATTTGTATCAAGACCAAGTTCAAGCCAGATATGATGGCACACACTTCTAATCCCAGAACTCATGAGGCTGACGCAGGAGGATCACCAGTCTGAGGCCAGGTTGGGATTCATACACATAGCAAGACATTGTCTGAAAAACAAAAACAAAATGCCTCAAGTGCTAACACACAGGCGGTGTGAATTACCTCACATTTCTAATAGCTACAGGTGGAATAATACCACTTTAGAACTGATAAAAAACAGTCTCAGTTTACAGGAGGTAAGCCGAGCGTGGAGATGAGCCACGTCACCCAGTGAAGTTTAAAAGCCAGACTGGAACCGGAAACGTTAAGCTCCACCTCCTTCCTTTCCACTCTGTCATGCTATGTCATAGTATGCCAACAGCAAAGCAAAGAACATTTCATTATACAAGAGATGGATGGCAGGTGGCCTCTGCTTGCCCTTCTGGTGAGCTCTGACACCGTGGCTTTGGATCTGGAAAGAGGTGAACCATGTCTTTTCTCCTGGCCAGAACTCAAAGGTCTGAAATCAGAGAGGACGACTGGGAATCCACCTGTTCGCAGCAATGTCACCACAATCTTCTAACACTGATTAACCAATCAATTTAAGGCTGAACAGAGAGCTGGAGTGCAAGTCTGAACATTTTGGAGGGGAAGCGTATATAAACTCCTGCTGTGCATTGTTTACTAAGCATGGGATGTTAACAATAGCATTTTACCTGGGAATGTAACCATCAGTGCCTTTGTAAGAAAATCAGAACAAAACCTCAGGGCATAGGCACAGTACTCCTGCTTCCACAGGAAGCAATAGAACTCTGCAGGAAACAGGGTTAGGAAATGAATCTCCCACTCAAAATGCTTATCAAGGAGGGTGTGACCTCTGAACCAGCCCTGTGGCAGGGCATGGAGGTTCACCCCTTAGGTCCTTCACAGCTAGAACACTTCAGTGCCATGCAGAGTGGCACAGATGGCCAGGTCTTCTGTATTGTGCCATCCGATCAAGACTGTGGGAAGGAGTAAGCCTGTGAGCCAGGCATCTCTGCAGCTTTTATCCTCAAAGGCACTGAAAGTTGTGTGCCATCAGTGCTCCCAGCACCCAATGGGACCCGGCAGTGTACCCTGCTGTCACTAAGCACAGATGCAGGCCCCTGCTGCCTATGCCGCTCAGACCTCCCTCTGGCAGAATCCACATTGTGGTGGCTTCTGGGCTCTTGGCTCTTTCACTGAAGACGAATTTGCCAAGGAAGAGCAGATGGAAGAGTCAGGGAATCCGTGTCTCCCTCTCCCTCCTAGCAATCAGTCATTGACTCTGGGGAATCC